AGCTGCTGTACTGTGCTAATACAAGCTTTGGTTGGCTTTGCTGCCTTATTTTCAGCAAAACTGGGGCTGAAATGTCAGAGAATGGCATTGTTGTCCCTATCCTGTCCCCAAAAGGAGCAGTTGAATTCCCCTGTTCCACCAGCAATTGAAAACCCAAGGAGATCATGCCGCTTGTGGGAAGAAGGTCTTTCTGGCTGCTCTAGTGCTCCCTTCCAAGAGCCTTGGCAGTCTTACAGTGATCCTACCCTGTGTCCCAAAGGCACGGAGGTCACATCAGTGCAGTGCTGCAGCAACCAGCTCTGCAAGGGAGCCGTTCTGCCTTCAGGACCCAAGCTAGTGCACCGTGGTGCTGCACAGCTCAGATCTCTTCACCATGTCATGCTGTATGATCATAGAATCAATGGAGTGATTTGGGTTGGAAGGGACCTTACAGATCATCCAGTTCCACCCCCCTGCCATGGGCAGGGACACCTTCCACCAGCCCAGGTTGCTCCAAGCCCCGTCCAACCTGGCCTTGAACCCTGCCAGGGAGGGGGCAGCCACAGCTTCTCTGGGCAACCTGTGCCAGGGCCTCACCACCCTCACAGGGAAGGATTTCTTCCTTGCATCTAATCTAAATCTCCCCTCTTTCAGTTTAAAACCGTTACCCCTCATCCTATCCCTACACCCCCTGATGCAGAGTCCCTCCCCACCTTTCCTGTAGCCCCTTTAAGCACTGGGAGGCCGCTCTAAGGTCTTCCTGGAGCCTTCTCCAGCTGAACACCCCCAACTCAGCCTGTCCTCACAAGGGTGGTGCTCCAGTCCCTGATCATCTTTGTGGCCTCCTCTGGACCCATTTGAACAGGTCCCTGTCCTTCTGATGTTGGGGTCCCCAGAGCTGGACACAGCATGCAGGGGGGGTCTCACGAGAGCAGAGCAGAGGGGGAGAATCCCCTCCCTCGCCCTGCTGGCCACCCTGCTCTGGATGCAGCCCAGGACACGGTTGGCTTTCTGGGCTGTGAGCGCACATTGCTGGCTCACAGTCAGTTTTCCATCCACCAATACCCCCACGTCCTTCTCCACAGGGCAGCTCTCAATACACTCATCATGATGATGTAGGTCCTTAGTCACATCTTCTATGTCCAGATTTTCATAAATTTTTAAGACAGTCTAACAGGGCTGATAAAGCACTGATATAATTAAAGTGGTGCCACTGGATTGTTTAGACCATTGACATGTTTTCTCAGCTCTTTGGAAGATCTCCCTGTGGTTATGAGCGCTTGTATCCATTTGGACATCTCTGCTCTAGGAGGTGGAAAAACAGACTGATGTGTTGTCTGGAGAGCAGCAAGCAGCCAGCTTGTGGTGACAACCTCTAAGAGAAACCTTTCAAATTGCAAGATTTTTGTGACATATGGTGAAATGATGCACCTGAGAAAATAGTCAAACTCATGACTTGTTGCCCTGGGCTCAGGAAGACCAAGATTTGAACACAGATGCTGAACATCATTCCTGGTGATCTAAAATCCTCTTCAGTCTCCACATAGCTTTAAAAGGAGTAAACCTGCTGTAAAACCTCAGTGCTGTGAGTGGCAGCCTGTGTCACTGAACTGACATGTTGCTGGGGACCTTTGAAAGAACCTTTTTCTCCTCAGCTCCGGTTGCCCTCCTAGCTGTCACTTTCTCACGGTGACTAGAAGAATAGAGGTTTAACCAGCTTAATGACACTTCCATGACTGTATGTGGGTGCTAAAAGCACACTCCGAACACTTAAATTAGAAGATGACACACGCATTGTGGCTGGAGTGCAGTTGTCAGAAGAAACAACGCAAATTTCTTCCAAACAGCTGCCTGACTGCCAACACTCATTTGGGTGCAGCAACTGTGAGAAGACCTATGCTTAAAATAAATGGGCTTCCAGCACAAGCAGCAGTAGATTTGACTTATTTAGCATCCTTTGCTGGCTCTCACATTTCCTGCCACCTTGCACCACACTGGTGGCCTGGCAGGTGGACTCTGTCCTGAGCAAAGCAGGAGAGAGAAGGTGCTTCTTTGTCCTTGGGAGAAGGTGCTTCTTCACAATGAGAAATCACTCCAGTAAAACCCAGCTGTAGCTGGTGGCCTAGACGCTGGAATTTGGACAGGAGCCGGGGGGGATGCCACTGCTAGGCCAGCACTGTGTCTCCTTCAGTGAGATGTGCTTCCCTTAAGGGGTATTATCCCACTGGTTTCAGTCTGTGAGCACGTCCCTGTAACTGTGTTCCTGATCACTGCTTATACCATGCAAAGATAAACATAGTTTGCAAGAACTTTCCTGCTTTTCACTCTCAGACACATTAGTTCAGTCTGGGGCACTCAGTGCATTACTACCCTACACTATAACCTCAGAAAAGCAATATAAATGCACCAAAATGTTGCATCATTTAATACATGCAAATTAGGGAGAAGCAGAGTCACAATTATTGTGAAGTGGAACGTTTCTGGGATCTTGGTGCAAACAGATTTATGTAAAACATTGATGGGAATTTTAAAATTCGGTAGACCTACTTGTGAATAAAAAATACAGATTAACAAAGAATGATTATTTTTAGTGGCAAAGGTGTATGAAGTCATTCTCTGTATACCATTACTCCTGCTCCCTTACACACACACTGACATTTGATAATCTTATAGAGACATAACACAAGGAGTCCTGTTGTTCGATGCACCGTACAGAGCTCAGGTGAGTATTACTCATATTAACAAGATAGCAAATAAAGGGCTGAGTGCCTACAATTTCAAGTCATTAGAGTTCTCACCTACTTTGAGAGCTCTAGAATTAAACCTTTTTGATTTGGTGCTTTATTTAAAATAAATCACAAACAGCTGTACTGTGCCTTTTTTCCAGTGGACATCTGGACAGTCACATCTGTTTGCAGGTGTGCAGGGCCTGCATTATGGTAATAGTGATACTTGCACAGAAAACCATCCCTTTGAAGTATAGGTGTATTTGAGGGAGGCTGGGGTGGGGAGGCAGATGGCTGCAGTGGAGGACAAGGGACAGAGCTCAGACTGTAGGAGAAACCATGTAAATGATCTAGATTTGTTGACTTTTAAAGGTGTTTTATTTACAGAAAAGATAAGATTAAACATCACTACATAAACTGAGAGCCATAGAGTTGATGCTACAACTGTGTTCAGCGTTTCACAGAGCTAAGCTGACAGAGCCCAGTAAATGTCCTATTACACATGGATCTGGCTGCCATATTTTGGGCTGGAATTCAAAGCCAGCAACCACAGAAAACTTGGATCATTTACAGCTGACAAGCCTGACAGGCAAAAAGTATGTTTTCTTTGACTGGAACCAGATTGTACAGCAAGCAATGGCTGAGCATCAAGTAATGGCGATTGGGTCAAGAGACCAGCCAAAGATTTTCCAACCAGGCCAAAACATGTATTTCAGTCCAAACAACTGACACTGCCTGTGGCCAACCCACTTGAACCTAGACGTTTTGGAAACAAACACTGTTTTGGTGCTCTGATGAAACAACATATTCAGGGATACCTGATGTACATTTCTGTATAGATTTGGGCTGATGTAGCAGGAAGGCTGGACTTTGGCAAATTAATTTTGCTCTCATTTACATGACTGCAAATCTGGAGTAATTTCATATGTGTCAGTGGGATTCATACTAGGACAGCAGTATCACGGTTTGCAGTGCTGGTTGTTGATGCCACACTACCACAATCTACGTTTCCTCTTAACACTTGAGTCGCTGGAATAGCTGTGATAGATGCACACAGTGAGTAGAGGGTTTTAAATCTGCTGTTTCCAGAACATTTTGAACAGGCAGGAGCACTACCTCTTATTTTTTTTAGTGACCTCAATTAATATATAGCCCCTAGAAAAGACACTAGTGTGCTTTGTTTGCACTTGGGATCCATAAGGACACAAGCAGGATATTTTCTAAAGTACTTGTTCTGCTTTTCTGATAACATTTGCTTCAGTTTCAGTTCATGCACATTCAGATAAAGGCTGTTCTAAGGGTGTTTTTCTTCTACTGGGATAAAATTCTGGGAACTGCAATTTTTTTAATGTGTTCTTTCACTGGAAACAGATTTGTAGTGTATGAGCTGCTGCTGGCCTGTCCAAGCATGGCATGATAATCACAGGTGGGTGCCAGTAATTGACTGAGTGGGGCCATGTGTTGGTGGCTCCGATGCTGTTTGCCAGTTGGCATAGCATGTCCTCTGGAAGGGCAAAGAGCACAGCCCTCTCTGGGCTGATGTGTGGTGACTACAGGTTAGAAAGGATAAAGAGCTCCTTCCAAGAATGAAACATTGGGAAGAATCTGAGCCCTTTCATAGTAGCCTGGTCTACAGCAGGGACAGTCAGAGCTGACTCACCACACTCTTAATTCTACAGATGTGAAGCAGAAACAAACAGCAAAGTCACTTGTACTATATAATTAAATGAGGAGGTCTAAGCCTTATTAACATTTTTTAGGGCTCACAAGGAAAAATGTTATTGTCTTCACTGTGTTTCTGACAGGGTAGCTGTGAAAGAAGAACGTGGACTTTTTTCAGGCCTGTGTGGGAAAGGCATGACAAAAACAGCATCTCTCTCAAATCTCACCAAACTTCCCAAAGCAAATGTGAGACCTTACAGGCCTTGCCCAGGCCCTGGATGCCAAGGCAGAGTTCAGATGGGGGCCAGTTCTTGCTGTTTTGAATCCACGGTTTTGACTGAAGTGCTGCATGTATGAAAAGAGCTGCTCTTACCCACATCATATCTCCTACAGTGGGACCCACACTGAGCTCATCCCTTCAGTCAAAAGGATGGGTCTTATACAGCTTGGGCTGTTTCAGTCAGGCAGATGTGGGTCTTAATTAATTCAGGCCAATCAAATTTCCTCCCCAGTCTTTTTTCTGCATTTGTACAAGTGGGACTGATATGGGAAGGTTGATGAATCAAAACAAATGGCACCCCTATAATTCACAAGTCACAGTCAACATGCTTGCTAAATGAAAGCATCAGAAAGTTTTTTATCGGCCTAAATATTGAAACCAAATTTTATTTTTTGAAAATGACATTACACACATCTTGCAAATGTACATTTAGATGAGAAAACAATGAGTAACAAATATTGAGAGCAAAGCTATAAAGTGGACAGGTTCTCTGCTGCATGGCATTGCATCACAAGAATACTCAGACCTGGGATGGTTATTACAAGTAGTAAAAACAGTTCACAACACCTCACAAAAATGGAATTTTTTCTAGAAAGTCAAATCTTCTAACAAAAGGAAATTCTGTTAAGGGAGAAGAGGCATGGGGGACAGATGTGTGGAACTAGGTACATTTTGTGGTTTTGTGGCAGGGCTTTGTGGTTTTTTTTTAAAGTCCGTTTCTTACAAAATCCATCTTTGTGAGTGACCCCCTCTTTTTTAAGACTTTGAATATTTTGTGTCCTCCATTGCCAACAGAACCACAGCTATTACACAATAAGCCCTGCATACTCAACTCAGGGCTTGGGAGTGTGGAGAAAGAGCTGTCTACAGAACCTCTAACAACATAATTCCTATAGACCATCCCCCACCCCCTTCCGCTGTGTATCCAGGAAAATCAAAAAGTGTGTGCAAACTCCGCAAATCAGGGGCCGTGGGACTAGTCCCATGTAGAACAACCAGGTGTGAAAGCCACGGCCAATACACCACGTGCCATATGCCTCAGCTGCAATGGATCATCAGCAAGATCGCATGTTTAGCAGTGACGCAAACTTCCAAAGATTTAACTTGTTCCCCAGTTCAAGCAGAGGCAACAGGTGACTGATCTCCATCTGTTTTACCTTGAAAGTTAGAGTCTAATCAAAGTGCCAAGGCAGGGCACTGTGAGAAATAAGTTCCCCAAGAGAACCTGTTGAGAACTGCTTTTCAAACCTCATTGTATATCATTTTATTTATGCCCAAATCTGTACTTTACAACCACGAGAGAGACAAAGACAGAGAGGGAGAGAATCTTTCCAGGAGGAAAGGAAGAGCTAATTAAGAAAAGAGGTACAGGACCATGCATTTACTCTCAAAAGCTTGTTCACGAGCAAGCTAACATTTCTAACACTACAACCACTCATCTACATCTGTTTGCTAAGTAACTGAGTTCTACCTACATCTAGGGAGCAGAAGGGTTTTTTTTCTTTTATTCCCCCTCCCTTTAAAAGGTCAATAAAAATGTTTTCTGTACAAGTTGAATGGCACAAAAGGTGGTTAAGATGCTAAATAACTCACCACAAATGAGAATGCAAAATTAGTTCAAAACATGCATGGACTGTGTACAGGTAAGCAAGGAATCATTGGCATAAAGCTGCAATATATTACAAGATGATACAGTTGAGATCTTTTGGAATAACCTCTGCTTGTTTTGTCCCTTTAAAAGAACTTCACAAAAAAATTCAGTGTAAAGGGAATTCAAGGTATATATCCAAGCAGAAAGTTAATTATGGGCAACATTATTTGTCTGAAGAGAAAAGCATTTCCCCTCCCCTTCCATGCACTCCCCCAAGGTACAAGTCAACATGGTTAGCATTGCTGCAGGCTTGCCAAAAAGAAAGGTTAGATAGATCTGTTTTAGGAGAACAAAAGTACCATTTAAATTAATAGCTCTTTGTACAATGTAATTAATTAAATACCTTATTATTTAAACAAAGACAAACTGAAATTTATCAATCCCAACAAAATAACAACTGAACCCTCACCACCCACGTGTCCTCCAAGGTTATGTACACAGAGTTTAAAGTATACCAGCTAAACTTTAAACCTGGCTGCCCTTCCAACCCCCACCCACTGAATCACAATAGAAAATACATTGTGGCCTCTCGGTTATATTATATTGCAGCTTTGTTATTAATGATGAAATCATGCAAACTCAATGAATGACCTAAGACAGTAATCCATGATCAGGTTCCAGTTCAGCTGCATATCTCCCTCCCTCAACACAACTTGTCAGCAGATTTGCAGCTCAGAGAGAGCCGCAGAGCGCAGGGCCGTGAGCGAAGGCAGTTCGTGCTCTTCAGAGAAGAGTGGTGTGAAGAACTCAGGCTTATGCAATGAGAGTCGCTAACCCTAGCTTGTGATTATATTTGTGATTAAGAAAATAGGCAAAGGCTAGTAACAGCAAAATCAGCAAGCTGATACTCCTTTCCTGTGCTTCTAGATTAGACAGTGTCATAAAATACAGAGTAACATGGAAGGGAATGTGTCATCATTTCAGAGAATAGAAGGAGATTTGGCTAGACAGGTTTCCTCTTTCTAAAAGACCCTGGGTGTCTTCTAAATTGATAATAGCAGCTGTACTAGTACTGCCATGGTGGTAAAGCTGCTTGGATCACACATCATTTAAATAAGAAGCAAACTAACAACAATTTCATATGTCAGAATTCAACATGTAATTACAACTCACAGGCTTTCTTGTTCTTACATTCAATACTTCTGCTTCACCTTATCTATTATAAACACCAATTAGCAGTGCAATTAATTCCCTAGACATTCTTCTTCTTAAGGAGACACATCATTAGACATCACACTAAATCTGGAAGAAGCTCTTCTGTTGTAAAGAGGGAAAAAAAATGGAAAAAAAAGTTGTGTGTTCTGCAACCCCTTGGTGACTATGTGGTCAGCATGAGAGGGAGACAGAATATCACTGCATTTCAACTGCCACCTGCAAAGGGAAGTGAATTAAAAACTCATCCATATCTGCTATGCAATGCTTGGAAGTGGACGAAGAAAAGCAGACATGCTGGAATAAAAAAAACATACCAAACAACAAAAACCCACAAACCCAAAAACCAAACAACAAAAAAAAACCCACTAAATATTTCACAGGGGTTCTCTGAAGGTAAAATTCTTCATTTCAAGCACTGGGCCTGGTCCCCAACTTAGGGTCCATTTGGTCCATTATAGACATTTCCTAAGTTTGATTCTGCACATGAGTTTCTCAGAAACTCAGGGGTTTAGAACCAGGGCTTGGTTCAGGTCCACCCTGACCAAGTGCCACCAACATGTTTCATTCTGACTGGACATGTCAGGTGAATCACTTGGCCCTGCAACAACCCTGCTGTTCAAATGTGACTCAAATGAATCTTGATTTCCTAGATATAACTGTTGTAAATAGAGATGGAAGAACCAGCTTGTATAAAAATCAAAAGCAGCCTTGAGTTTAGATGAGTCACCTGAAATGAACTGAACCTTCCTTTTTATGTTCAGAGACATTTGTTAATATTTTTCTCTAGAAACCAAGCCAACCATAAATCTCTACTCTGCTTGGTTATAGCTGGGACTAGAGTAGAAAAATACTGGAAGAAATAGAAATGCTCTTTCTAGTTCTATAAACCTGCTGGGCTCAGGGCATTTCTATTGGTAGACTGAAGTGAGAGTAAAGTGAGATAAAGCCAACACTCTTAAGAACCAGAAAATGCAGAGGACACCCCGATTTGCTAAGGTTCCTTTTTAATTTTCAATTCTAAATGTTTAAAGTTATTTCAACAAAGAAAACTATTTCAACTTTATCATTAACTATAATAAAACTATACAAATATCTCCCATATATAACTTGCTATTAGAGGTTCATACAAGAGATCACTTTATAGCTGGGGTCAATGAGGTTTTCTCTGCAAAGTCTGCAGCTGTCACCCAGGAAACTGAATCTGCACTTAAGTAATCAATCACTCAAGAATTATTGACAGTAATCAATCTTTGAAATTGGAGACCAACCTTGGACCAAATGGATTCAGCTCCCTTAATTACAGAGGAGCCTTTGCCTGTTTAAAGCAGCAGATAATTAGGTGTATTGGGTTTCACTTGTGTTATATTGAGCATCTGAGCATCTACAGACACAAAGAGGTGCAATCTTTAAGCAAAAGTTAAAAAAAAAATCTGATGCTAACCAGCAAAAAAATATGTTCAGATAAGTCATCTGTTTTGCCTTTTAGGTTTAAATTCCCAAGCACTGTAACTCAACTGAATTTATAAAAAAGATCTCATGAGAAAACCAGTGTTAAACACAGACCTCCTTGTTCAGCATGGACTTCCCAGTGATTATGCAGCAACTCTTACCCACATGGCTAGGCATTTCATGAACAAGATTATCATCAGCACCCCTGCCTGCACAGCAAATCAAGGTAACGTCCTCCAGGAGCCTGTCTCGGATTTTCACCCTGGTGCAAGTGGGTGGCTACTTTTTCCAGAGTTTGCTGAGCTCCCTGGGAAGGGATGGGAGGTTCAGAGGTGCCCTCATTATTCTCTTTCACATGTCTTGCAATTCCCCAGTGTGCCAGGCCTGTCCTTCTCCAAGCCAGGGCATGCTGATGAATTTCTATTTTTAATCTGATGGGGAGGAATAAAAATAAAACCAAGCGACAGGTTGGTGCTGTCATTCAGCAAGGGGCTGGATCTTCCCCCTTTTAGGGATGACACATGCTGGCAGAAGACTAAAGCAGGAACAGGGAAGGAACTTCAAACCAAGTTCTCCTGCCTGCGGCCAAGTGTGACCTTATTTCTTCCACCGGGATTGGGACACACACTGTTGTGGCAGATAGCCTGAATCCTGGCTTGCATACCTGCAGGGGCAATAACTCTCAACATGCAGCCAGGAACCCCTGCTGCTTTTCTGCCCAGAGCCAAGATGTAGATCCTCAGCTAGCCCCAGCATCCCCTTTTTTTTGTTTTTTTGAAGTTCTTGGCTTTTGTCTTTTATTATTCCCACACATCAATGGCACTGACATTTCCAGTGCTCTGCCTCCCATTTGATTTTCTGTGAAGTTCATGCTCATTTCATCACTCAGTAAATATCTCCTAACAAATACCCCCTACCATTCTTCTTAGAAAGAAGTCTTTTTCCTTTGTTACCCATGACACTGGCCATCAGGGCATCTTTCTCTAATGATGCCAACTTTCTTTTTTCAGCTGACAGACTCTAATTACTGCAAAGACTTGTTAATTCCCTTTGGGCATCCTCCTTCTTCAGTTGTTTGAGTGATAAACTGTCAGACCTAAGGAAGCTCTAAACTGGCTTGAGAGTCCTGAGTTACAGTTCACTGAGATATAGAGCAAGAGCCAGAATAAGTTAGTTCAGCTAAGTGCATTAAGCAATGAAACTGAAAGGCAACTCTTTCCCATGAAGCCATCTGGCTATGAACACTTTCTAAACAAGACAGCTTTCAACAACAGGACCACTGTTTTCTTGGTAGAAGGCCACTGAAATCATTAAACTTATTCATCGTTTACAAATACAAGGCCCACATTTTGAATGGTAACATGAATTGCCCCTGGTATTTATGCATACATATAACAAAAAGAGGGGCAGCAGGGATCTGTATTCAGGCAACTCCAGATAAGAGATTTGGGTTGCTGAATGTGTATATGGCTTTGCTCTCAGAGTTATTGCTAGCTCCTCCAGGGGTTTTGGGGGAACTGAAAATGATGTGTATTGTCTTTCACCATTAGTAAAATAATGAAGCATTTCTACAGCATCGTTTTGAGAGAGCCAGAGTTGCTAAAAATACTTGCCAAAGACAATGGACCATAGTTTGTTTCTATAAGGTTTTTAGACTTTGCTAAGTAATGAATAAATCTCAAGAGCAAGTTCTCCCATAGCTCTTTGTATCAGCCTATCTCAAAGCACCTTACAGATGGAAGTAGGTATTGTGATCAGCTCTTTATGCATTGGGACACCATGACACAAGGAGACCTGATCCGTCCACAGTTATGCCAAAGACCAATAGCTCTGAAATCTCAATGGCTCTGAAATCCTATTGCTGAATCCATTAGGTTTGGTTCTTATTTGCTCAGAAGCTCATCTATTGGCTGAAAATAGGTGTCAGCGTTTTTAATCTTCCCTAAACAGTGTCCTGAGGGACAGATAGTGATCTGTGTCCCCCAAGCTTTGCATTTTCACCTACAGACATAGTATTTGTACCCTACCCTGTCAGAGCAGCTATCCAGTGGCATTGCTGAAAAAAAGCCTTTCCATCGACCCACTTACCATCTCTGACCACCTCCCCTCTCTCTATAAAAACATGATTTTTTGTCAGCTTGGCCCTAGACTTTCAGACAAACATCAAATGACTAGATCTGTTCCAGATGAAACAAAACAAAACAAAACAAGAGGTCTATACACATTGCTGGCCCCATCCTTTCACCTGGAGACACCCAGAATGAGAGGCACCAGATCTCAAGCCAGGAGCAAAGGAGCATGAAGAGTCTCTGAATAACAGAATCAATAACCAGTGCAGCAGAACCCAGCCTGGTTCACTCCACAGTCAGTGAGAAGTGGCTGCACTGGGAGACACAAGGCTCAGCTTTAACATTTCCTGAGATCCCATGGAGAGGCCTGCTCAAATTCATACAGATGGGATAGAAGCATCAGCCAGAAGAAATCTGTGATTCTGAAGACAATAATTTTCAAGGGCTGGTTGAATAAATGTGAGATGAGCTAAATATTTGAACAATCAAAGTCTGTCCTGTCTCCTTTTGTCAAGGCCATTTTTACCTAGACCTTGCTGGGCACATGTGTAGTCCTAGTTCTGAAGCCCAAAACATGTTGGAAGGCACTTAAAGTCTTAACCTTCTTGGTCTCATTACACTAAGGTGGTGTTTCAGCTGGATCCCTTCTAGGTGTCTTGTGTGAAGCACTAATCCTATCCCATGGTCTGACCTCACTCTTTGTCTAGATAGACAGAAAAAGATCTTCATCTTGTGTCATCCATTTGCTTCTACAAAGAACCTCACCAGTCCCAAATACTGTTCCACCCTGCTTCCATCAGCAACCAGAAAAATAACTTTGAGCCTAAATGACCACTTATAAAAAGAAGCTGTTTTGTTCTGTCTTGGTCACAATCAGCACCTCATATGTGTTAAACGCACCTCTATATAGCTTTTCCCTGGTTGTGGATTGTCTTAGCTTGAGGACACACTTTCTGGTTTAATTTATATCTACTTTACTTGGCTATTTTTTCTTCCTTTCTCTAAAAATGATTCTCCTTCTACTATAGTAAAAGACAACTCTCCAATTGCCTTGAATGGATGTGGAGTACCACTGAAGTCAATGACAAAAGACACACGTGCCCTTACTGCAATAAAGAAGCTTCATACTGTAAAGTCCATCCTGTGCCCTTGCAGAGAAGATGCAACTTCCAGGGATGGCTGTCGCTGGAACAGCGTCTGCATAGGGATTCAGTATGGCACTACAGAGCAGTTTCACAAAGTGTTCTGAGAAGTAGCAAGGAGACCAGCACTGACCTCAAAGGTAAGAAAAAACAAACACAAGGCATCCTAAAAGATGTCATCAGGATCCATATGGGCAAGGAGAAACTTAACACTTTCATGCCATTATTTCCTATTAAAAACATTGGTTTGCTGTTTGCCACAATTTTTGGTCCTACCTCCCTTTTTCCCTTCAAAAGTACTGTTCAAACATATGAGAGAGAAATAACAGCTAGACTGTGTGTGCAACTTTTTTTGCATGCATATGTGTGTGTTAGCTAAATGTGAAAAAGAGACGTGGAAGTTGTTTTCTAAGCAGAATTATTTTTCTGTTATCTATGAAAATAACACAATTAGTATTTTTAGCTCCTGAGAAGATTGTAAATAATGTGCAGATACAGGAAACACAGACAATGGTAGGCAAAAGCTATTTCCATCTCCCACTGCAGAGTGGACCAAGATAAAAATCTGATTACCATTCTCTTTCAAAATTACTTCAAGGTGTAGAGTCTTGGTTGGCTGTTTAGCTGGTGGTATTGAACTAGCTCCAAATCTTAAAACAGATGAGGCTTTAACCCAGAAACTTCAGGATTATAAATGCTTTACAGGTGACAAAAATCCTGAGGCTGAAGTTTTTGCTGCATTGACCTGATCTTCTACAGTCAAGACCATCACTGAAATGTACAAATACATTAGTCTATGCTTGGAGGATTGCTCCAATTTCTTCTTAATGATTATGTCTTTGAAACAGGTATTTTTACTGTAGATGCAAATTTGCTAAAATATGCTGGATACTGAATAAAGGCAGATTTCAAAGAAACAAATCTCTGCTACTTTGTCTCTCCATTTAGTTTTTAAATACTGTATTGTTTTAAAACAATACAATCTTAGTGACTCAATTAGTCTCTGAAAACACTAAAGGCAGCCTCATGAGGCAAATTAGATGGGGTTTTTATAGCAGAATTAATATGGCAAATCCTCATATCCTGTGGAGTTTTATGCGCTTGTAAAAGTAGAAAAAACATAAAAGGTAAACTCTGGAGTATAGAATTACTATCATCTCCTCCAGGATCTCATAGGGTATGGAATTATTATAGTATATTGAAATTAATTACTAATTAATTCCGGTTCAGGAAAGCTTTCTGACCAAATGCAGCTTAAATCTCATGAAAATCAACAGGAGCAAAGCATGCACTAAAATTTAAGCATGTCTTTAAGTTGTTTCCTGAATCAGGACTGTCGTTATAATCAAATGACTAAGGTACAATGCCTGTGCATTGTTTCTCTTTGTATTCAAATCTATGTTAGGGATCCTACAAAGCCAAAGATAACTAGTTTTGAATGCAGGTAACATTCCACATGCATTTCTGTACAAGAACTCATGCAATATTGGCATTAATACAGACATAACTATATGTTACAGCTGAAATGCTCACTGACTTCTCCCACTGCCCAGGCATTTCTACCTAGAAAACTGCTTTTTTGAAACTTGGGAGTTTGACCTCATACCCTGTTTTCTTTGTGGCTTCTACTGGTTTGAATGGCTATTTTTCCCACTGAACAATTAGTTTTTTCTTCTTTTAGGCCTTTTCAAGGTGCCCCTAACTCCCTGAAGGAATTGTTGGGCTCAGCCCCACCCCAGGATGATCCTCATGCAAACAAAACTCCACTTCCAAGGGAGCATTTGTAGGATCAGGTTTTAAATGCATCACTAGGTGCAGCTTGGGAAGAAGACCTCAGTGATTCCTTTGCATGCTCCACCAGGAAGAGCATCTTCAAATAACTAAAGACTATTTGTGGCAGAAAGGAAAGCAACCACTTCTCAACAGCTACTTCAAAAGGGGTTCATTCACCCCTTGGGATCCTGCTTTATCTTATACAAACTGAACTCATAGATACTGGATGAAAGCACATCTTGGACTCCTTTCCTACCACCATCAGCTCTAGCAGTTCAGTCTGTTTATGCGTGTCAGAGATTTAGGTTTTCCTGGTGGATCTGTGGTGAGTGCTCTGTAGTGAATAGCAGGAGAACCTAGATGTGATTTCATGGCTGGTCTCTTGGTTTAGCAGAGACTTGGAGGAAAGGTGGCTGGACATGCTAACCCTGACTATGACAGAAATAGACTGTGTCACTGAAGTGACAACACCTTTGACTGGAGTCCAAGTCCATCTCTAACAGGCAGGATCACGACTATTAGTCCATGTAAAGGGACTATTAGTCCCTGTAAAGGCAGAGACTTGGGCAGGGACTCAGATTTCCACCACAGAACAGAGGAGAGCATAAAAGCATGTCAAATTATCTGTCCTACTAAAGCTTTTACTAAAACAAAAGCTGTAATGAATAATATTGTTAGCATAACCATGGCCTTTGACATCCTTATGCTTAAAAAGTCATGTTTTCTCATGACCAGTGTCTACAATAGCACCCACAGGATTAAACAGCCCAAAATTAGCACCCATAACCAAATCTGCACCGAGAATACTTCAGCACCTTCTGTTAGAGGATCTGAAAGCACTTTACAAATGTTAACCAACATTTGGCCTCACAACCCCCAGTGAGGTAGAACAGTATTGTCCCTGTAGGGACAGATAAACAGATTGAGGCACAGGGTTACCAAGAGACCTGCTCCCGTTCAGACACTGAATTTAGCAATACCAAGGGCTGAATGAAGGTGTCCTGACTACTGCACCTATGCTTTGTCCACACTATCATCCTTTTCCCCACAAAACTTCAACAGGAGACATTAGTCTTTGAACTGAAACCAGGATTCTATATATAACAGGCGAAAAGATCATTTAGTGGTCATGTCATCAGAGAGTTACTCAATTAAATGACTTGTGGGAACAAATGATTTCTTGTACAAAACTCTGGGTGTAAATGATCATACACTAAGACTACTGGGTGCAAATTGGGTGTATAATAACTCCAACCCCTTGATAATTCCCAATCCTGGCCTCTCTTAGATGAATCTCTTTGTATCATCACATGAACCTCTAAAGATGCAGCCTGCACAGATTGTTTCATACCAGCAATGCAAGCAAACAAAATGTGGAGTGGCTTTGGGAACAACTCAGCATTCATGTAGCATCAAACTTTACAACGTTATAATTCATTCTAATCACAAGGGGTTGCAAGGCAATGGGGAATAGGTGTGTATGTTGAAACAAAGGCAAATAGAGCAACAAAGAAAGATTTGATTGCACAGATTTCATTTAGGTAAAATTCTATAATAATCCATTTCATCAAAAGCTTATTCCATGAGAAAGGAAGGCAATGCCAGCTAGCCTATGACAAAGCTTCGGTGTAGTAAAAACCACCAGCCCTGCGTGAGTAGATGAACTTTGCATTCTGTAGGAGTCATTTCTGATTAATAAAAGCAAAAGATTTCTCTAAATACAGTAAGTTTGTTTTTGTCAGACAGAAGAGTTTCTTAAAATACGGGGTTTTGAACACCACAAAATTCCATTTGTTATATAAGTAGAGAGTCTGGCCATAGTTAGGAATACTGAAGTGTAAAAAACCAAATATGTAGTCTTAAACATTACAAAAACTATCAAAACATTCAGTATTTTGAATTGACTTTTTTTTTCCCCACATGTGTCTATTTTGGCAGTGATGACAAGATTTCTAAACTGAGTTGTTGTTCTTACTGTTCTGCAGTTGTTGATTGGGGTTTTTTGTACATTTTTCTGAATGTGTTTTTTAAACAAAAGAAAATCACCAGCTTTTATAAAAAAGAAGGAGCTTGAATCCTCACTCCCAAAACACAGATACAAGGTTTTCCTTTATAAAAAGTGTATTGATTTTTTGCTATAAAAAGTGACCTATAGGGTGTCAAACCTGAAAACAATTTTTCACAGTGTTTTCAGTGTTGGCTGTTCACAAGGCATTACTGTTACAAACAGAGATAGAGAGATACCATAGGGTAGGTATAAAATTTTTGTTACCAGCTAGCAGTATCTTAGGATCATATGTGAAAGGTGTTCCACTCCAGATAATTCCGTTGATTTACATTTTTTTGCTTAATCATTTAAAAAAATTTAAGAAATCCCAATATTTGAATCACTATTGTACTAACCTTACTTAGCATCTTATGCAATCATTCCTCATGTCATCCAAGTTTCTGCTGGCATATTAAGCATCAAACTAGTAAGTCATTTCCCTTCCTGCCCTCCAACAATAAAACCAGGTGGTAAAATGGGGGCTGCAAATGAGGAGCAGTTGAGCTGGCAAACGGCAGTTTGGACAGGTGGAGAATATCATTTGCTCTACTTGAGCTTGCAAATTGGTCAGCAAGCGATCCATTTGCACACTTCCAGGGGGAGCTACTTTACTATCACTAGGAAAATTACAGAATTGCAGCAGAAGAAATAATAGAAGAAAATGGGAAATGCACAGGATCATTGGCATACTGGCCTCAAATTTCTCTCAATGTCCATTTTACATCCCTATAACTTAGAAGAATGGTATCCCTCTATCTCTATAGACTGGTAGGTATTGATTTGTGGCACGGAGGATAAATCACAGAAAAAAAATGACATATAACTGTGTGTCCTTTGTCTGATTTGAAAGCACCAGTCACCTATCTGCTTATTTTGGCAGAAGTACTCTACTGTATCTTAAACATAGCTTGCAATATGGACATATAGCTTCATGTCGCTTTACATGGAGTCTCCAAGGGAATCAGAGTCATCCAAAGACAGAGGCAGATACAAGTCCTGTAGGAAGAAAGAAGAAAATGTTAACTCACACGATCAGTTTCCACCTTTGGTCATGCATAAGGTAGTAGTCAAGGAATCCAGTTCTGTGCAGTTCATAGGGACACGGTAGGACACCTCATGTGTGGGTTACTGGACAGGCTGACCAGCTGTCCACGTAGTTCAAGGCTAAAATCAAGGCAGGTTACTTGCACAGTAGAGAAGGAGAATCTTGGTACCAGAAGAAAGGTGACTTTTCAGTGATAAGTCTGAGAAGCATTTTTTTATCTCTTCTGTATCACTGTATCCATTATGTATTCATTATAGCACATGCATGAAAGAGCAGGACCTTTCCTTAAACGGGTTTCTTTGAACCTAAGTCCACAATAAAGTCTTACCTTCATTTGACAGCAACCCTTAGGACAAATCTCTAGGAAAATCACGTTTTATTCTTTATTTTAAGTCATTTCTGGTCTATTAGAAGGGTTAAGAAAATAATCCCAAGTTTATTATTTGGATCAAATACTGAATGTGAAGCCTTTCTAGGGTCCCTTTCTGGGTAACCATCTCATTCCACTTCCTTAAAGTTCTGCATGGAACTAGGTACACAAACCAGCTCAAGGGCTAAACCTCTCCTTGGACCTTCTTAAACTCTGACTCACACAAAGGTAATAACTGTGAGCAAAATAAAGAAAAGCCCAAATACTCAGAAAGGAAATTCACAATAATCTTGATATAAGAAGAGATAAAATAGGACTTTGTGGTGAAGTCAGCATTTATCATTTGATCTTTTTGGGAAAAAAAAGAAAACTGATTTCATCATAAGCAGGAAATTGCCCCTGGGAGAAAGACAATGATGCATGAATATTCTGTTAACCTAAAATGCTACATTCATGTTTGCTGATTGGCTTAAGTTAGTGGAGAAACTCAGATGGATTGGCTTTGCCCTTAGTAGTTGCCATCTATTAGAAATGTTCTAGGGGCTTCACTGGAAAGATCATAAATCAGCCATCTGAAAACATACATAAAACATTAAAGTTTTACTTGTCTTTACCAGCAAGTGAATCCTCATCTCCAAAGTCCTAAATGAGATAGTGTTTGGAAGGTATTTTAGGTCCTTGATGGCTGAAGCCAAGGATGCAGTTTACAGCATTACTTGTGCTGAAATACACACAAGCAACTGTTGAATTCAGACTATGGGCCAGACTCTGTTCTCAATTATAAATTAATAATAAGTACGGACCCAACTGGTGTGTTGCCTCAGACTTAGACTGGGCAGCTGAGATCAGAGTGAAGTCCTGAGGAAAACATAGATTTAATCTGGATACAGCTATGCCTTTGTTAAAGAAAGTCAAATAAAGCTGAGTAACTACAGCCTCTCCATATGTTGGGAATATTTTAAAGATCTGATTTTTAAGCTCCCCCAGTACGATTCAACCCCATGTCCGAAGGTCTGCAATGCAAAATCTTACATGTTAGAGTAATCGAAAGCCCATTGGACTTTTGGGGATTCTTCCATTGACTTCCCTGTGATTTGTTCCACAATCATAACAACTGTAGTCCAACTGCTGCTACCACTCCTCACTTCGAGAAAAAACATAATCCTCAAACAAAACTAGTTCAACCTGTGCGATCTAGACCACAGTGGATTACATGTGGCTGGCTGAATTAAAAACCTTACCACTATCAGAATTTTTTAATTACCCTTCCCAGATTTTCAAGTCAATGCTTCCAAAACCATATTCAGGGTGAGAGGTACATTCTGATTACTAAAGAGAAATCCCACTGACCTCCTCTCACACTTACATTTATGTACAAGTTTCAGTTTCTGTATCAAGTAAAGACTGTTGGAAGCAACACTGTGGCTATTCCAGAAATGAGAAAGCCCATGAAAATTATGATCTGTACTCAGCACAGAATGGTACTGAATAACAGGAACAAAAAAAAGCTGTGACTACTGCTATACCTTGTAAGTCAGTCAATACATGAATTATCTATGAGCCAGCACAGGTTTACTGATCTCTACTAGGATGCCATGCTACCTGTTAGACACCCTGTTTGTTACCAGGAAAAACAGCTACTGTACCAGAACATTACTACACCAGCTGTAAAAAATCACTTGTTTCCTGTAAAAGAGTATGGCCTTAAATAATTTTTAAAAATCCTTGAGAAGCATCTTTAAAGTGATGTCTTAGAGCTTCAGTAACATTTGCATTACTTCTGCTGTTTAATGATCCAGATTTGCCAACACTTGAGGCTTTTCAAAAGAGAAGGTTTTATATGAAGATCATATCCATCCACTTGCAAACTTTTTCAAATAGTGATACAAGCTTGGGATTAAGTTATCTCTTCTGACCCATATGGATGATCTCCAGCACACATTAGTAACTCCAGTGGAAGAAACAGGCCAGTGATTTGTTGTTCATCATCTTGCTAGAGCCTGAAGTGACAACCCTTTTATGTGATAGGCCAAATTCTTCACTGTTTCAACATAGGGAGTTGCGCTTCCAGAGACTATGGCCATGATTTAAGTGTCATACAAATCTGACTAAGGAAGAAAGAGATGTAGTAAGGTATAAGAAACGTAATACCTTGTGCTTACGGAGGCTCCCTGGGCTGGTAGGTGTGGAGATCGGTGACTGCTTTGATTTGGGTGTAGACAACTGACTGCTTGAGGTTCCATTTGCTGTCAGAAAACAAGACAGAAGCTAGCAATCAGACAAGCAAGAGGAAGGTCTTTTTTCTCCTTTGGGGAGATGGAAGGTATCCAAACATTTAACACAGAAATGCTATAGTTTATTCATGTTAGGCAGGAGAAAAAAATCAAGTGAATACCATGGCTATTCACCCAGCTTAAGGCTTTCAGCTGTTCAGGGTAATAAACTGTAAAATACAGTGAAATACAAAATACATTGAAGGAGCAGTATTTTACACTACAAGTATTCACCAAATTGATCCAAGATACACATCACCAGAAAAACAGAAAGACAATTTCTATGTTCTCAAACACTTCAATGCAATTGAAACCACATGGCATTTAAGGGCATGAGTGGGAACCACAGGCTGCAGATATCCTGGATCCTACACAAGGAATGTTAGATGTCAAATATACACATTACAAATTAGACAAACAGCTGCCCAGAATGCCCTGGATGTAGTTAGTTAGCTGTGGCTAGGATTAGATGACTAAAAGAGCCTTTCTGAAGCCCTGGTCTAAGCACAGGGTGGCATGTCGCTGTTCACGTCTCTGGAGAGAGGCCAGAGCTGGCTCTGCTGTCCCTCCACTGCCTGTACCAGGAAAGTGAACAAGGTCCATCAGGGGGAAGACCAGAAGACTCACATCAAACAATAATCCTCTGCAAAGATCAAAATCTGGCCTTTTGGGTTGCCTTTTTTTATATATATATGTTGCTTTTAAGAAAATAGTTATTCTCCATTTTAAAAAACATGATTCATTTAAACCAAATGGCTTTTTTAAGGGTTGATCATTGAAGCCTTCACAGACCTGGCTTTTACTTAAAGTGAAGGGCCCCAGGTCAGTGTCAGGGCAAGCTATTATGCATTTATTGGACTAAAAAGGAATCAAAGTAAATGGCATATTATACAGAAAAATTAAGGGAAACAAAATGGAATAAGGATACATTTATTTTTTCCTACCACTGATGTTATTTGAAGTAACCTAATGTCTTTGATAATTGCCAGGTGTCACAATGCGTATTTCATAAGGACATACTTATACATAGTGAACTTGGTCATCCATAGGTTATGTATCACTCCAGGGATACACACCCTCTTGCTACCAGGGGTTGTAAACACACAGCTCCATCAGCACAAGCAGCATTACTTGAGGGAAGGAAATTCAGACGCATGCTGGCTGTGTCCAAGTATATTGTCTTTTTCATCCTTTTTGCAATCCAAGCAGCAGCAAGCTGGAGGCCTTATTAGCATTAAACTATATATCCAAATCACGTCCACAGAAAGTGACATTTCCAAAACCTACTCCAGATGTTAATATATTCAGCACAAGCCACAAAACTAAACCCTAAATATTTTGATTGTCCTCTCCTTAAATGGCAATAGCGTTGCCAGCCCTCCAGATAACTATACAAATTCCTACCCCTTTTAAACAAAGCATTTTTAATTGTGTTGACATTTCACATGGAGAGAGAAAGACAAACCTATAATGATCCAGGCTCGTTGTCCTTCTAAGTACCCAATATCTCTCTATACCATTACTCTAACTGTAAAGGCATGCGCACAGGAGGATGGATGATTTCAGCATATGTGACTTATGCTTTCAATTGTAATAGCTGAATATGCAAATCAGTTACTTAAAATTAAGTAAGTAGTTCTGGAAGGCACCTAAGAAGTATATAAAGTATCATACAGTGAGAAGCAGCATGAGTGTTTTATTTTTAAGAGCAAAACCAGCATAACACATGCTTTAATGCTTAAGACAGCCTCATTTCTCTACTCTGTTATCTTCTTGTGAGAAAGAGGGGGGCAGTTAAGGTTCATAGTATAACTGGTCCAAATGTAGAGGTCATACATGTGAATTCAAGTAAGTGTAAAGAAACGTGCTCTAATCCACAGGACAAAGGAGGAACTGCTGGCATGTTAAAGCAGCTCAGACTCAACAGATTCATGGTGATGTGGCCCCTCCATATCTATAATTTCTATGCAGAAGGCACTATGTGGAAGAGGACCCTATTCATCACAGATAGCTTTCTCCCATTACAAATGCACCTTGCTGAGGGAACAGATATTTTTTAAAAGGTGCCAGAAATAATGATTTATAGATAATTGGGGAACAGAGTGACCTTTCACCTCTCCATTCCACTCAAACCATTCTTTATTAGTGGAGGGGATAAACTAGTTATGGAAACCCAGAAACTGTTACACCCTGGTCCCTGCACTGTGATGTGCCACTCTTCACTTTGCTCCAGTTCTACAAAGTGACCTGCCCTCGTGGTTGGTGGGGAAAAAAAAGTAGAGTTTGCTAACTATATGCTGTATAATGAAAGCAATTCAGAAAAAAAGAACTTGGATTTCTTTTATGTTTTTTTTTCACCAAGTGACTTTGGGTTTTTGTATTAAAGAATATGTGGGGTACAACAGTACTAATACAATCTGTATTAGCTAGAATCCACCTCTGATTTCTAAAATGCCTCTTTCTTTGTTTATTTCCAATTGTCACTGATCTTGAGGAAGGAGTAATCAATCCTTCCTAAGACAAAGAATGCCATGTAACAACTCTACAAAGAACCCATATTTCCCTTCCACAAACAGGAAGACTGGAAGGATGGCTAACAGTCAGGGTGCAGCAAATAGATGTAATTGCTGCAGGGAAGGACAGAAATTCCCTAATACAATGAGACTTTTAAGTGCTGCAGCAGGGATGTTAATATTTTATGAGCACCAAAGAAAAAACAGATGTGACATCCAAATCAGAAATCCGATGAGACGGATGTGTATCATTACAAACGCTCACAAAGAATTTTGCAGTAGGAGCAACAATTATGAAGCCCAGTTTGATTTTCTCTATGTCTGCTAATGAAGAATAGTGTTCGTGATCAAACTTGCATGCGTTTCTTTTGAACTCAAATGCAAGGAAATAGCAAAAGGCAAAGAGCAGATCACAGGTGGTGTATAATGCTGCTGCTCCACTAAAATCTGCTGATGACTTATGGTGGCTAAGGATCTCATATAAGCTCAGCTATTTGAAAATGATTATTTATAATCAGCTTTCATTTGAATTCATTTGGGTTTTTTCACCATGTTATTGTTTGTGTGTTATGTCTTACTTATGTCACTGTATTTGCTTTGCAACCTCAATCTGCTTTAAAGCTTCTTTGTGCATATGACACATCTTTGTGCACTGCCTTTTTTCATAGGATCCTTACCTTCTTCAGAGCACAAGAATATTCAGCACAAGAATGTTCAGAGCACAAGAACAGGAGAATATAGCATCATGTCATGTTTGAGATGGCTATGAGAGATCCAGATAAACTGAATTCTCTGTCTGCTTCTTCCACAGATATTTTAGACAAACTTCTTATATGCAATTGTTCCTTGAGTGTTGCTCAAGTTTGCTTGGATGACTGGGACTCTGGATCTGAACTTCCAGCAGTGATAAGCACCAAGACCCATAAATGAGGCTAGTGAGATCCATCTTTTGAACTCACATTTCTATCAATGAACAGAAATGGAAAAAGCAGGGCCCAAGGATCACAATGAGGGCTCAAAATGTGTGGAGATCTCTTTTTCCATCAATTTGTAAAATAAGGTTAATGCTTCTTGCTCCATTGGGATTCACCATGTTCTGCAGTCGAGTTCCTGGTTTGAGGGGCACATGCTGGTACATCACAAGAGTGAGATAAAGAACCATGAAACACATGGATAGTTTTGTCTCCAGGTCAGGGTTTGAAGTGTCACCAAGAAAATAAAAGAGAGGCAACAACCCAGAACAAGGACAGCATAAAGCAAATGTAGAAATAGCTGCTCATTTATTGAGCACAAGCCATCCTGCCCTCCAGGACAGAGGAGCCTGGGGGAAAAATAAAAGACTCCATTGTAGTGTTCATTCAGGAGTGGAAGAATTCAGATTGCACAGGTATCCTTCACTAAGGTACCTCCAAACTTCCAAGCGCTCAGCTCTGAAGTGCTGGCACCCTTTTCTCATCATGTTTTGTGAGGCTGATCTCTCCACTGGATGCGTACTGTGGATTGTCAGCTACCAGAACGTAAGTAAGCACAAGTGGGATAACAAGCTGCTCTATCTTGTGTGCAATCCAAAAGACATCTGCTGCCTTTTTAACACATTCATTTATAATGACCCTGGGGAGCCAGATCTGCAGTCAGGACAGACTGACATTCTGTATCTGTTTTGCTAATTGCTGCTGCCTTGTGGATATGCTTTTGCCTCTATATCCAAACCCTTCCATTAGAGGATTGAGAAATTAAAGTCCTGCAGGACTGCCTCAGAGCCCTGTTTGTAGGCTCCCTGAGCCACATCAAGGCAAAGTTAGGGAAAGACATTTTAAAATTTCAGCTTAGGTACCTGTGGCTCTGTACTGCAAAGGACTAAGATCATGCTGGTTTTAAAAATCAAAAACTTTCCTATTCCAGCACATGTATTTATACAGTTGAACTCTTGTTATGTGAATTACTGTAAGATAAATTCATATTTTTATAACAGAGAAGTAATTCCAAATGACATAATTATTTTATCCCCTGCAGTTTTCCCCTGAGACTTAGCTCTCTCTTTTGTTTCATTTGACTTCTTGTTGGAGTAGTCTGTTAAAGAAATTTTGCTAAACTTCATGCTAACCCCACCCCATTTAAATCTCATGGACCATAGCAGCAGCACAGAGACTTACCTCCTTATGCCCAGTTTTGCTCTGTCATATTAGGAGAAGGAACTGGATGGCTTACTCAGATGTGGTTTTGTCTGGATTTTATTGCTCTAAGCTATGTCATTTAGTGAAGCTGACTTCATAGAAAGAAAAATAGAGGCTAGAAATAACTAGCTTTGCAACTCCAATTCTGTGCCAACCGCACCTTGGTGGAAGCAACATGTTGGGGGAGTTAGGTGGAGGATATAGAGGAAAGACGTCATCACAGCTCCAGCACTAAAGAGATGGGAAACAAAAGGATATATTGGAAGCTCAGTGGGAACTACTGGCAAAGCAGCCAGGGCCTTACAGTCAAACTGAACCAAGAGGTGAGAACAGCCCCATGATGGAATGATCAGCAGAGTGTCTGAAGGAAGAGCTAGATCAAAACAGAAATACACTGGCATTGCTGAGAAAGCGTATATATATACATATATATATGGGTTGGGGGTTAATGAGAGAAGGAAGAAAGGATTCCCATTGGGAATATAAGAATATAAGGACTGTTGTCTATTACCATCTGCTTATAACAAGACACTTCTTCCTTCTTCATTCATTCATTTAATTTTCATTAATTCATTTAATTTTCATTCATTCGTTCATTTGAATGACTGTATGGTAATTAAAGAAATGAAAGTGCTGTGCCAAGAAAACATGTTTCACATGTTTTTGTGGATTAGCTACCTCATTTTTTGAATATCCTTGAAGCTGAAGGGCTCTGACTGCCTAGAGGGAATTGAGCTTTTCACAGTAAGGCCATGACACATCTAGGCAGGAGGCGAATTACCTCCAGCAGAAGGTAGCAATTCAACCAGTGAGCTGAAATCACTGCAGCTGGGAGCTGGCACTCTGTGCAGTTGCACTTCTGTGCATGGCCTTTTGTCCTGACATTTTTTAACAAAATATTTTGTTTATGTGTTCTTTGTTGCTCCATGTTAATCCTTGTTATTTTGGAATGGAGCTGACCACTTACTTAGGTGGCTCACTACCACAACTGTAACAAGACAGTCAGAGGATACCTTACAGTTCACATATAGCTGGTAACAGGAGCAATCAAATGGCTTAGAAGCTGCTTCTGTTTCAGTGCTATACTTACAGACGTGCTACATATATTTCCTTCTGTATTCTGCTGTTGTTCTGATGCAGAGGTGGCCCCAGAAACCACAGTCAGGAACAAAGCTTTGGGTGCCATCAGGGGAAACTGGATTCCAGACAGCAGTACACTCTCTCCATGGCTTTCCCAGAAATTTAGTTATACCTGGATCTATGTTTTTCACTGAGGAATAGATCACTAAATCCATAGCTAAAACTGGAAAGAGCAAAGGATATCAAAGATGAATGGAGATCACCTGGCACAGAAGGCAGATCCCTACATAAAAAGGTTCCAGGCTGACAAATCAGCTCAGAAGAGAATCTACACAGACTATGATTGATGGCTAAGACAGCATGAGGCCACACACTTGTGTTCATTCACCTGCATAACCTGACAGTTTACTGTGGCAGGACTGAATGCATCAGAGCGTGTGCAGAGTGCTGGAGCAGTCTCTGATCCACTAGTGTGTAGATAGTGGTCTTACTAGAGTGTGGCTTGCCTCTGTCGAAAGGTCTGGAGCACATGCTGCAGTTACTCTTCTGTTGAAGATATCTTTTGTGTCTGGCAATCTGTGAGGTAATAGCTTTAGTTTTCTCAAAATTTCTCCAAATGCTTTCAGAATGCACAAAAAGCCCGAAATAAAGAGCCTCAGAGCTCCTTCCTGTGCATGATTCCATGAGTAGATTACAGAGCCGTGTATACAGATTGCTTATCACTGTCTTGGATGATCCACTGGGAAAGAAGGCATGAATAGCTTAAATAATGTACTCAAAGCCATAGTGTGAGCCAGTGGAGGAGACTGGAATAGATCACAAGTCCCCAGATACCCCAGCCTGTGTAGAAGATAGCCACTGCTTGGGCACAAAGCATTTCCACAGCTTTGAATAAGAAGTGTTATATTTATGTTGACACATAAAGATCAGAAGGGTTCCTACAGTGAATGGAAGGGAAAGCAGATGCAATGTTTGCATGCTGTCAATGTTACATCCTCAGAATTAGCCCTAGCAAGCTCTTGCTGAAGCAGTTTTCTCTGTGTGCTGTAACAGTGACTTAATACTTTTGTCCACTATGTGCTGGCAGCATTGAGCTCTTGCCAAGTAATGAGGCACAGCTGTGTATGCACAATCTGGTTTAAGCCTTAGCTGCCTCTGTGAGTGGTGCACACAGACCACTGTCCACATGTAAATTCACGGCATTCTCTATTTTGCTGCTGACAAATAATGTACCATTTTCCCATATGCTTTAGCAAGGAAATGGAGTAATTAGGATGAGCAATGGAAGAAAATAAATAACATCCTTTTCTGTAAGTAGTGTGCTTGTAATGAGGGTTTAGACTTCTTTCACTCAAGCAGCATGGAGATTTACTTCAGAATCTGCATTTGTATCAGGCCCAGATATATCACAATGGCCTTAGAGATTATGGTAGAAAAAACCATACAGAAACCTACATGGAAAAGTACTGAAAAGAAGAGAAAGTAACACCATAGAATCCAAGTTCTGATATGACCACCATAGCACCGTGAAAGACAGCAAAGGCAAAAGGTACAAATGGGTAGGAGATCAAACACATAGCAAAAATATTTAACATACTTGAAGTGAAACTGCTTTTAAATCCTTTCACAAATGAAATAGATGAGAATGCTGAAAAAAATGAGTCAGATCATCTTTTATTAATCAGGTTTTATTCAGCATTCCTTGCCTCTTTAATGTGATAACTTCAAAATCTAGCTAAGCCTGTTGATTATGTAAATATTAACTCTTAAGTAATGTGTAGACTCATTTCCTTTACTACAGGTTCAAGGGACAAGAACACAAGATGGTATTCTTTTTCTCTCTGTCCTGAGAAGAAATCTGTCTTTGATTACCCTTCCAGTGCTGAGAGAGTTCAGTCGGCTTTTATTCTCATTAAGCAGGACAGGTTGCCATTTTTTCCTGCATTGACATGACAGGAAAGTACGAAAGACCCCTGTCTAGATAGATTAAAGAAACCTGATTTGTCCTTCATTACTGGCCTTAACTCCAGGAGCTGGCTATTGTTCAGCATTTCTGGTTATTTTCACCTCCTTCTGAAAGGCTCTACTAACTGTTCATTAAACTTCATCAAATGACTCACCATTTTGTTCCTGTGAGTCATTCAATCAGTTAAAATCAGGAACACAATAGTTGCCATTTCACATTAGACTATATGTTCATGCAATAAACTCTAGTTCTGATGGTAGTTAGCACCTGATGCTTATGGAGAAGGTTTAAATGCTGTTTCACAACTCATGCATGAGCTGACTCCCAGATCACTAAATGGGAGTTGTTTTTTTTTTTTAAATCAAAAACATATTTTCCATCATGTCTTCAATGTACCTACACAACTTTACCATGCATTTGGGATTATAGCAGCCTAAGTTTAAGAACAGCCAACACTGGAATCTTGAAAGAAAATTATATGAATGCAGAATCACCTTACAGAGAAACAACTTTTAAAATCACAGAGTCTTGGCATGTGCCAACCAATTTCACATTGTTGCTTTAAGTAGCTGAAGAACATCAAGAGGCTCTAAACAAATTAACTGCTTCCTGGGGAAAATATTTCTGAATACTGTCAGGAGAATTTCACATCCAGTGATCCAATATCTACTGATGGTCAACTATTGTGTGGTGTTCACTTGCAATATGCAATGTGTTACCATGAAGGTAAAAGCCAATTTCTGGTTTATATCATCTGTGTTAGTACTGTGGGTCACTAGAATTTAAGCCTTGAAGTTCTCCTGGAATCCTGAAGTGCTTATTTGGCAATTTGGCCATTTTAGTGAAAGGCCATGTCTGGTTCTCTTTTGGAAAAAAACTGGCAGACAGATGACACACCTAGAGATCCACCCTCTCCATCATGACTCTAACTCTCCATTACTCTAAAAACTATCAATTACCAGAAGTGTGATATTCAGCCCGCCCTTTAATTTATAGGCTCTGCAGCTCTCCAGATGTGCTCCACCGCCAATCTAGTTGCTACTGAAGAGAGAGGGAGGCATTTCAAATAGTGCAAGCTGCTGCAGCAAATTAGGATTCCCATTTTCCTTCTCTTCTATTACTAAATGAATGTCTCAGTATCACATCAATAAACCCATCACCAGTTCTCTAACTGCAAGGTTACTGGTCTTCTTTAAATAATGATTAGAAGGGGACACTTCTGACCTATACAATAATTAACATTTGTATTGCACAGAAGGTTATTTTAAATCAGTCTGTATCTATAGGGAACATATGGGAGCACTGTGGGCCTTGATCTCCTGCCTGTGAAATAGAAACTTCTTTTAAAATTTTGTTAGGGCAGAAAGATGTGAAACTGGATGATGTGACTTAAAACCACAATTGCACTTAACTGACCAGAGAATTCTTCTCCAATATTTATTGAATCCCTCTGTACACTATCACCAGCTTCTTGCTTTTAAAAAATGCCAAAGTTTCATATGCGAACACCCAAGGTCATTGTATCCAAAGACGCACAATATGTGTTTGTCTCTTGAGCACAGTTAATATTCAGACACCAGAAAACAATCACTCACCATCTTGATGGTTACCTGAATCGGCTGGAGACTTGCTCCGACGCATGGGGGCTGGACTCTTTGCTGAGCTCTTCTGAGGGGTGGGAGATGACTTACTGCCCGTGGCAGTTGCAGGGCTCCCTTTCATCACCCGGCACTCTAAGGAAACAGACAGCAACTGTGGTTATGTTCCTGCCTACTCTTGCTGTCTATGGACACCACGTATGATATGCCCATGGGCAGCTTAATGCTTTGTCTCCAAAGAGCTGTAGAAAACAATTGCAAGGAAAAAGCTGGTATCTCCACATTCTCTCCAGAGAAGAAAGAAGACTTTTCAAGGGGATGACAAAAGAACCAGCAGCTTTGCTCCTCTAGACGAGGTGCTGAGACAGTGTATGTCAAGATCAGGCTGGGTCCCTAGCAGGGCCCATCTCTGTACCCGTGTCCTACTAAAGATTTTCTGCCCTTCCTCTTGCCTTTATTCTCACCAAGTAGTGAGCACAATGAAAATGGTCAATACTGACTGAGGGAAGAATCAGGCAAAAAACCAAGTTAATTTGCTGTAACCTTCCCATGAAGACCTAGTAGTAGGAATGATGAGTGCAATTTATGGCATGACATAAAGGTCTGTAAGTGGCATATGGGACATCTGCTCCAGGAGGCTTTCATCCAGCCTGAATCAATCTCTTCTCTGGTTTCAACAAGCTGCAACTTTTCAGATGCAGAAAGCAAAGACAAAATGGTTTTACAAAACACATCTTCTGTCCTTACCACTCATCCCATTCAGAAAGGTTTGTATAAACAAGTCCAGTAAATTTATGTACTTAAAGACATGAGCAGATGAGAACCCCAACTGTGTTTTCTTAAAAAATAAATAGGCCAGGAAAAGTGGAAAATGTAAACATGATCTACAGTGTCCTGTAAGAGGGAACTGAAATGCTAACAACCCTCTCTGTGTCCAGGATTTCAGGCATGCCAGATCTTCAAAACCAAGGTTTATTTACACTGAGAGCTAACAGAAAAAGCAGTTTCCTCCCCTCAAGTTATTAACTTAACCCAGTTAAGAAGGCAGCAATAAAAAGGGGATTTCCTTTTTGTCAAATGCTAACTGATCTCACCTCATCTCCTACAACAGATTGTCCTCACCAAGATGTGAAAAACAGGTCTTTTTTACAGCTGTGAATTAGATGTTCCACTTACAGACATCTTTTCACGGAAAAGTTCAGCTCAGCATGCATAGGCTGGACTGAGGACTCCTTTGATGGATTCCCTAATGGGAATCAACTAAGGCAGCTCACAGCAGATAAATAATTGGTCAATTATTGAAAACAAGTTGTCTAACCTAAATATATGAGTTATTTATTTATATATCAGTATATCTATGAAAATCTAATTGCCTTAAATGTTTCCCCAGCCTTTCCTCTTTCTAGTCAGTTAAGAGTCAGTCTCTTCTTCCAGATGGTTTGCGAGAGTTTGCTGTTGGGTCATGAAGTACAATATGAAAAGAGAATGCCCTGTGCTCCAGGGATACTGCATGGCGTTAATTAAACCTACAATGAGTTTATTCTCTCTCTTGCTAAATGGATTTTAGAAAATGTAAATCAGATATAGAAAAAGTTGTGTGTTTGGGTTTTTGCAAAGATACTTGACATTCACAGATGATGCCACAGAAATGCTTGTAGGGCTCCAGGACCAATATAGCCCCAATTTTTATACATTAAGAGCAGTAATGACTAGGGGGGGGGGGGGGGGGGG